GGTGGGTTAGGATGAACACCGTTAAGAAAGTAATATCACAATTGTTGTGAAGATAAAATAGTCTAGTCTAAGTATGTAATTAGGTAAGCGTGATACTTGATGTAAAGCGCACTTGATCATATTCACATGGAAATTTGGGCTATAGAAATGTTAATCGTAATCAAATCTTTGAATCCGTAAGCCCAGATTTTGATCGGTGCTGATGAGTGCAGATCATAGATATCTTATACACACTAGATGGCGCATCTCTAAGTAAAAATTGAAGCCAAGAATATTCCAGCGGTTATCCCCATTTGAATAGATGGCGGCCATGTTGAAGTTTCCCACTCGCTAATAAACGCTTAAAAAACAACAATAACTTTCATCATTTGAACAGTTTGAAAATGTATTTGGAATAGGTTTAACTTAATGTTCATGTTCCCTGTTTAAGAAATAGAAAACATACGAGTCTTCTCATTTCATGGGAATATCCTGAGTCTGCAATCACGGCTTCAATCTTTGAATTGCAAGAATAACTAGATGCACTATCTAGTGTATATAAGATATCTATGGTGCAGATAATGTTATCCACATGTGCCCATAAGTGCCCATTGCATGGTTAAGATGTTTTCTTTTCAAAGTATTAGACACCAATCCCACCAACTTTTTGCTACCCCTTCCGATCCACAATGTTCCTCGTCGGTACAACATTTCGTCACCATGGTTTCGTAGTGCTGACGTAGAAACTCACGTGATCTAATGTCAGCCTAAAATATAACAGAACACGTTGAGAACCGTTGTTGGGCATTTGGAATATTTGACTAGATCAGTTATACCTGTCTAATAGGTTCAGGTACTCGGTGCTTGCAGCATAGCTTGCATATCTTCAGCGCAGTTTCCAGACTTATCTTATGACCAATCGAAACATAAACTGGGTTTTTTGATGTGTCTGTACTTCTAAACGCCTGTAAGGAAAAGGATAAGCTTGTTACAACTTGTTTGCAGATCTCGGTAACAACTTGCGGTTTGCAGAGGGTGCATGTTTTAACACAGATATAAAAGGCAAAAGCCGAGTGTCTTTTATCTGATAAAACACGGACTGCGAGTGTTTTAAATGGCTTACGAAACGACCCATCTTATTGAGTTCATTGGCGAAGTAATTTTAAAAATCAACGTTGTCTAAGCCTAAAATCAAAGCTAAAGTTTATGTAAATGAACATGACTTTTTATCATATATGAAACCGATGTTACTCTGAGTGCATATCCACACCGGGCGAGCTTGAAAAATATGCCCGGCCACGGTGGGATTCGAACCTACGACCTCTGGAATACTAGCCCAATGCTCTTCCAACTGAGCTACGCGGTCAGGACGGTTCGAGTAAGTGATATTTCGGAACAGTATCTAGTTCCTTCAATACCAATGTGTTCTAGTAATATGAATTTTCTGTGTTGGTGTTGTGTACTCAGGTGAATAATATGTTTGCGATGTTACTCTGAGTGCATATCCACACCGGGCGAGCTTGAAAAATATGCCCGGCCACGGTGGGATTCGAACCTACGACCTTTGGAATACTAGCCCAATGCTCTTCCAACTGAGCTACGCGGTCAGGACGGTTCGAGTAGGTGATATTTCGGAACAGTATCTAGTTCCTTCAATACCAATGTGTTCTTGTAATATGAATTTTTTTCTGTGCTGGTGTTGTGTACTCAGGTGAATAATATGTTTGTGATGTTACTCTGAGTGCATATCCACACCGGGCGAGCTTGAAAATATGCCCGGCCACGGTGGGATTCGAACCTACGACCTTTGGAATACTAGCCCAATGCTCTTCCAACTGCGCTACGCGGTGAGGACGGTTCGAGTAAGTGATATTTCGGAACAGTATCTGGTTCCTTCAATACCAATATCTTCTAGTAATATGAATTTTTTTTTTCTCTGTGTTGGTGTTGTGTACTCCGGTGAATAATATGTTTGCCATGTTACTCTGAGTGCATATCCACACCGGGCGAGCTTGAAAATATGCCCGGCCACGGTGGGATTCGAACCTACGACCTTTGGAATACTAGCCAATGCTCTTCCAACTGAGCTACACGGTGAGGACGGTTCGAGTAAGTGATATTTCGGAACAGTATCTAGTTCCTTCAATACCAATATGTTCTAGTAATATGAATTTTTTTTCTCTGTGTTGGTGTTGTGTACTCAGGTGAATAATATGTTTGCCATGTTACTCTGAGTGGATATCCACACCGGGCGAGCTTGAAAAATGTGCCCGGCCACGGTAGGATTCGAACCTACGACCTTTGGAATACTGGCCCAATGCTCTTCCAACTGAGCTACGCGGTCAGGACGGTTCGAGTAAGTGATATTTCGGAACAGTATCTAGTTCCTTCAATACCAATGTGTTCTAGTAATATGAATTTTCTGTGCTGGTGTTGTGTACTCAGGTGAATAATATGTTTGCGATGTTACTCTGAGTGCATATCCACACCGAGCGAGCTTGAAAAATATGCCCGGCCACGGTGGGATTCGAACCTACGACCTTTGGAATACTAGCCCAATGCTCTTCCAACTGAGCTACGCGGTCAGGACAGTTCGAGTAAGTGATATTTCGGAACAGTATCTAGTTCCTTCAATACCAATGTGTTCTAGTAATATGAATTTTTCTGTGTTGGTGTTGTGTACTCAGGTGAATAATATGTTTGCGATGTTACTCTGAGTGCATATCCACACCAGGCGAGCTTGAAAAATATGCCCGGCCACGGTGGGATTCGAACCTACGACCTCTGGAATACTAGCCCAATGCTCTTCCAACTGAGCTACGCGGTCAGGACGGTTCGAGTAAGTGATATTTTGGAATAGTATCTAGTTCCTTCAATACCAATGTGTTCTAGTAATATGAATTTTCTGTGCTGGTGTTGTGTACTCAGGTGAATAATATGTTTGCGATGTTACTCTGAGTGCATATCCACACCGAGCGAGCTTGAAAAATATGCCCGGC